CCGGCTGGGCTGTAATAGAAAGTGTCTCCCGAAGGCAGGAAGTTTCTCCGTGTGAAGCAGGAGCACACATACACACACACACACAAGCACACACGCACACACACTTCAGAATGTAGCCTAACAGGTGTCAGGAGACAAAGCAAGTTACTCCGTGGCTACGCCAACCTCCCTCGGTACCAGCTAGCTGGAGAGGCCGAAAGAGGCTCTACTGCAGCACACGTACGCCTGACGAAACACCAGCTGCACTACAGCCTCCCTGACAAGCACATTGTCAAACAAAGACACAAACTCCCGGCCACCAGAACTTTCTCCAGTGGAGCTATTTCCCTAGGAGGGGAGAAAACAAACCAAGTCAACCAAGCTGCGTCCAAGCAAAGCAGCTTGCTGGATTCTGGGACACAGTCATGCAGTGCTGGTCTCACAGAAGCCACAGCCCTGTGGATCTGCTTTGTTATTGGTGTTGTTGCTCCTCTTCATTTTGTTTCCCCGGTGATTGTGAGGGGTAGCGGCTTCTGTGAGCTCCCTCAGGAGCACAGGGAGGGTAGGGGACCATTTAGAAGCACACAACCAGGGAATGGAGCTGAGAAGCAAAAAGGCATGTGGCACGTTGAAAGCTGCCTCAAGTTGAGGGCACGGAGCCCGGGGATGGGAACAACTGGCCTGGGGGGAGCCATGTGTGTGCCTATGTTTGTATGTGTGTAAAAGGGAGGCAGTGTCTGCGGATGGGCATCTGAGAGGAGGGGGCAAAGGGAGGAACAGAAAAGGGGCAGCTAGGAAGTTCCAGGACTGGGGGAGTGCGGACCACCTGCCCAGCATGGCAGACAGCAAAGAGAAGGCAACTGGGGGCTGGGGGGTGTCCGGGGCAGGAGCAAGCTCCCCTGCCCTTAGAGTGGGGGCCTTTCCCATTTTCTCAGCAGCTGCAATCAGCCCAATACTCTTCCCTCCTCTGAGGGGCTCTCTTTCACCTCCCCCAGCCGAGAAACCACTGCACATGTGGACCCCTCATCTATAACCACACATAAATACACCCACCCTACATTATTTATATAAACACATGAAATCAGGCGCCATCGACTAAGCAATGGAGTTAACTCTTTGAACACCCACACTCCTGTTCCAAGCCACAGCCTGCTCCCCCCACCCCCCAAGCAGTGGTTCCTCCATTTCACGTGCTCCTGCCTGGGGTGTGAGTGGTGTGTGTGCACCTGTGCGCGCGCGCGTGAACACTTCTCCTCTACCCCCATCGGGCCAATGAAGCCCCCTCCCCTTGCCGGCAGCCCGAGCCTTCCTCCCCTCCTCCTGCACAGCCTTCGAAGCCCAGCACAACAGCCGTATGGAGAAAGAGGGTGACGACGACCCCCTTCACAAACACCCTTCCAGCTTCAGCTTCGGAAAGTCCCCTGGCCCTGGCTGCCCCTCTCACTCACCGATCTGGATATTGTTGGGGAAATTGGCACCGACTACCGCGCCTAGGAACCCGGTGCAGAAGAAGGCAAGGATGTGCTGCATATTCCTTTTTGCATTGGCGAAAAAGAAGCCCAGGTCCAATCATAGATTTGGCGTACCCCCCCTCCTTTCCTTTCTTCCTTGCTCGGCTCTGCCTCTTCTCCTCCAGCGGTTCCTTCCTTCTTTCCTTCCTCCTGCGAGGTTTGCTTCCTTTGGAATCCCAGCACTTAAACTGCAGCGTTAACACCAACTGACAGCCGGATTAACTGAGCGGGGAGAGAAGCCCGTGCTCATGCTGGCGAGCGCTCCCCCCTCCGCCTCTCCACGCAGCCTGCCTCTCCCTCCCTGCTTGCTCCCTCTCCCCTCACACTCACACAGGCAGGCGCTCTGTGCCGATGCCCACGGAGCCAGCTCAGACTTCCACTGCCGAGCTCCCCTGCCTGTCACCCCTGCCTCCCATCCTCACCTCGTCCTCCTCTCCGTGTGCGCAGAGGAGGGGCGGGCAGGTGGGGGTGGCTCGGCTGCCTGTTCCCCACAGGGGCCACCCCGGGTGCTCTTCACCCTCCCCACGTCTGGGCTGGCTCTGCCCTCTCCCCCAGCCCCTTGCCTGGGGTGTTCCTGGGAGTGTGGGTTCAGCGCTAAGTCAGTAGGTGGCAGGGGGTCCCCACTGTGAGTCCTGCACTCACCAGCTACTGGATCTAGGTCACTTTTTCTAGGAGTGCACCGAAGGACTGTGCGGATGCATCTCATGCACTCCACTGGCCCAGTTATTCCTACAACTCATTCCCAAGGGGAAGACCCTAGAAATCCCTCTTTAAAATTCCAAGGAAGCAAAGCTTTCCCCCTCTAGACACAGGAGGCCCGAGAACGACTGGTGGCTGTTTGCACCTGGACCATCTGGGATTACTGCCTGTCTTTGCGGTTGACATCAGTGGTCCCTCTTCCATGCAGCCATTTGAGAAGGGACCCTTTTCCCCTTTCCTGCATCACACAGGGTCCACAGCATCGGGACCGCCCGTGTGGGTGTGCATTAAAGACTATGGATGCTCACCCTTCCATGACTCACTTAGCAGGGATTCCAGCGAGAACACAGGCCTGGTTAGCTGCTGTGGATGCAGGTCACAGCCAGTGGAGGCAGAGACTGCACAGAGCCCTCTGGACCAGGACTTCCACAGAACCTGTAGAGAGACTGACTGTGTTCAGGGAAGAAGAGTGAGTTATGAAGCAGCGGTCCCCAACAGCTAAGAGCACTTTACAGTTGACAAGGCAGCTTGTCAGGGCCAGCCGGCCAGCCTCCTAAGGGCCCTCCAGAAGTGACTTTTTCAGAGGTGGAAGAAAGTGAGGAGCTAGAGGTTACATCGTGCATGGAGACGCGGGAGAACCTGGGAAAGGAAAGGTACACTTTTTCCCTAGCTGGAAAGAGAGAGAATAGACTTTGGACCTGATTATTTCTTCGCCCCTGAAATAGATCATTTTACCCAGCCATTGCTCACCTCCTTCACTGAGACTCAATAATTACACATGCTCCTGAAAGCTCTAAGGGTGGGATTTGCAAGAAACGTGAACCTGTGTTCAAAGCAGACCCTAAAGTAGGAAGAACGTGGAGGTCAGATGCTGTATGATTCTCTACATCGGTCTCCACACTCATTAGCTGGAGCAATTTGTAAAGGGGCCATTTATTCACCTTTTGTCCTGCGCCCGCACTAAACATGCCTCATTTATGTGGGCAACACTCCCTGTGGGAGGCAATCACGTTCCCATTTCACTGATAAAGGAAATTGAAGCCTAATGATTTCTCCAGTTTTCTGCTGCTGGCCAGAAAGACATTGGGGATTTAAGCACAGGAAACTCCATCTTCAGGCTCAAACCCTTAAACCCTAGGCTCTAAGGGCAGTAGGTACTGGGCAGGGAAAAATCTGGAAGTGTAAGAATAAGTTTGGGAAACTAGGAGAACAGAGTCTGGAAAGATCACTGTTAAAGTCCTTGCCAATTTCAAAAGTCTGTGATTCAGCCCTTCCATCTTAGAATTTCTCCGTTTGCATTTTTTTGCCTCTTACTATTTTGAATGGTACCTGGGGATCTTTTAAGTTCTCTGAGCTTTATGCCTGGTAATAACAATAATTAGGCTGTCACTAAAGGCTTCACGCTTTTCTGTCACCTTTCAGAGGAAGATCGCAAAGTGGTTTACAAGGATTAATTAGCAAAGCCTCAACGCCCACCTGAAATGGGTCAGAACTGTTTTGCTTATTGGGAAGGGAAGGGGCTTAGGAAGGCTGGAAGATGCATTTTCTGTGATCATCATAAATCGTATCGCCAGATCTTCTAAATATAGTTCTACGTCACTGCACTGCTCAAGTATGATCAGTAGTGCTCCTTGGCCTATTAAGTACCAAATTATTCAACGATTAAATAAACATGGAATTTACTCATTTCGAGCTTGGGTGTTCAGGTCAAATTACATTTCAGTTCAAGCATTCATTTCTCTTTAAAAATTCTTGGTAGTTCCACTGATGGTGGGGAATCCACTGTGTGTCCGCCAGGGTCTCAGGGCTGGGGAAATGGAAAGGAATCAAGCACAGCCTGTTAGAAAGGAAGGCAGATGAATAGCACTGCTGACATTCATGGCAGACCAGGGCAAGTGCTTGTATCGAGATGCCAACACAGCATCGGAAGGCGCAGAAGACGAGGCAGCCATCCAGCTGTCTGTGGGGATCCAGCACAGCTTCAAAAGAGCCGGACCACGAAGGATGAGGGGCTCATGGGCAGCCACCAAATGTAGGGCTGGAGGAAGACATGCGAAGCAAAGGAAGGGAGCAGCACGGGCCGGAGGCAAGGGAGGATGCCATGTGCTCTGTGTGCCTGGACCCGGGGTGTAAGGCAGGGAAGAGAGGGCAGAACATGAAATCCAGAAGAGCACTGGACCAGGATTTGCAAGTTTTTGCCTTCGTGTGGGACCACGAAGAGTCAGGGTGCATTTTTAGTACCATAGGGGCAATACTAGGAAAGAAAACAGTGGCCAATGGCGGAAGGTGGTTTCTTTAGCCTTGAAGGTTAAAACTGTATCCTTCCAGATTGATTGCCCTCAACAACCTATTCCAAGGCCTCCCCTTATGGCCTCTGATCCTGTCTGCTCTGCCCAACATCAGTCTTGGACACTCGACTTCCTACAGTGTCTTGTGACTGATGGTGACCAGATTTACAGGTGTGTGTCACACGGATTTAGACAGCCATTGGATGGCCACCGTCTCAGCTCACTCTACTTCCAGCCCTGAAAAGGCAGGAATTGCAGCTTCCTTTGCAGATTGGGTGAGGCTCAGGCTGGCCAGCAAGATGGTCTGCTTAAAACAGTGGTTCTCAATGGCAGTGATTTTCTCCCCTGGGTGATGCTTGGCAGTATCTGGAGACGTTTCTGGTTCGGGCCCTGGAGAAGTGCTCTAGTGTCTTGTGGGCCAGGGATGTTGCTAAACCTTAGGAACACACAGGGGTAACACTCTAGCTTTCACAGCAGAGAACTCATATCTAGCTCAAAATGTAAATACTGCTGAAGCTGAAAAAGTTTTTGTCAGGGTGGCCCCTGTACCAATTTCCTGCTTCACTGTGTGATGTGAGAGAAAGATTCAGTTTATTTTTAGCTGGGTGTGGTAGTGCTTGCCTGTAATCCCAGCACTCAGGAGGCTAAGGCAGCAGGATCGCTGTGAGTTCGAGACCAGCCTGGGCTACATAGTGAGTTCCAGGTCAGTCTCAGCAACATAGTGAGACCCTGTCTCAAAACAATTTTTTTTTCAGTTTATTTTCTTTCAGTGCTTTTCCCATTATAAAATAGGAGACCTTGAGATGGGCGCTAAAGTCCCCACTGATGAGTACCTCATGGAAGGGCTCCAGACAGTAGCGAGCCACTGTGGAAAGACCTCCCAAACACTACCCAGAGTCAGCGTGGTACCTGTTCCCTGGGCCAGGCCTAGTTCATCCCTTGGCATGCTGCAAATCCTACAACCACAGAGCCAAAGTAATCTTAGATTTTATTGTTTGGCTTTGGTTCCTCACTAAAAATGAAGAAAAATTGCACCGGGCAGGGATTTCAAATTCAAATGCCTCTGTGGGCCAAACAGGAAAATGCATGAAGTCATGCAAGGAGAGTACAGGGAGTGGGGACAAAGGAGAGCAGTGTCTTTGCCTTCAGAGGTGGCCCCAGGGTCTCAGGCACATACTAATTACCATAAGGAAAGGTAGGCTGAGGGTGGCAGTCTGCAGGGTTATTTTTCAGAAGGAAATACTAAGACAGGTTAAAAAAAAAACTTATTAGATGTGCCTTATTGCAGGGGCCAGCAAAGAAGGGAGGTGCATGTAAAGGGCCGTGTTGGACTTGATCTTACCCAAAGAGCAGCATGCAGTGGGATCCAGGAGCCAAGAGTCTAACCTTCCTCCGTTCAGCTGAAGTTTGAGGGCCAAGTCCATTTCCGCTCTGGACCTCTGTTTTCTCCTCTGTAAAATGAAGAGACCAGTTGGCGTGATGGCTACCGACTGTTCTGGGGCTGACAGCAGGGACGGAGGTGAGGCAGCAGCGGAAGGACAAGATGCTGCCTCAGGATTCCCTTGTCTCCCCCACCCGCTATCCCTGGCAGCTGGTGGCGGCCTTGGTAATTTCTTTCCCTCCTCAGGTTCGCCTTCCTCTCTGAAAAGTGTGGGGTTTCTTCTGGCTTGAACATTTTAGGTTCCTCGTGCGAAACGAGTCAAGGAGGGAAGAAAAACCATCAAATGGGTGATCTGAGAGCAGAGTGCTGACAGCTAATGAGTTGGCACACATATAATCAGCTTTAGAAAGTTCCGTGGCTTTAGAAAGTTCCCATTTTCAAAGATGCTTTAACAAATAATGCAAATACCTTCCGTATTTCCTAGCACAATTCACACTGAAAGCTCCCAGAATATTCTGCAGACCGTGTGTGTGTGCGTGTGTGTGTGTGTGTGTGTGTGTGGTGAGAGCATACCCCAAAGAATGTAATTACCCACCCTGGAGTTCTGCCAGGTTTAGCAGCTCCCCACCCCTTTTCTTCATCTTCTTGAAGTCTCCCCTCCCCTTCTCAAAGAAATGACAGCATTTTCATAAGCCCTTGGCATTAGCAGGTAATTAGGGAGCAGAGTGAGTTCTGGAAAACACCCTGGGGTAGGATCAATGCCTAGAAAAAATAAAAGTCTACCTGAGGACCAGGCTGCTGAGCAGCGTTACCGCTACTGGTCGAAAGTGGGAGAGGTGACTCTTTGTCCAGACCAGGGGAGCCTTCCGGGAAGGGTGTGTGGGCCACCTTCACCAGGGTGGTGTGCGGGGCTCGGTGTCCGGCTGTGCAGCTGGCCCCAGTGTAGGGGACGCAGAGCCAGGCCTTCTTCGCCAGATGGGTGATTTAGATAAGCCAGGAGCTCCTTTGTGTCATGTCTTCATCTGTGAGGCAGGGAGGCTCCCTGACAGGGCTGGCGAGAGCACTCACGCAAGGGGACCTGGGAAGGCTCTAGACACTAGCAAAGGCCTCCGCCAGCCTTTCCAGCGGGTGGGTGTGCTGGGTCGTGATTTTTGCCCCAGGAGTGGAGTCCAGATTCATGCTAGCTTGGGAGGCCCTCTGCGCAGTTCCAGTGTGCTTCTGAAACGCCTCCTGCCTCAGTAGTTCACCTTCCCTGGAGCCGAACTCACTCGCACCCGCCCTCCACTGCCCTTCAAGAATAAACAAGCTCCTGCTGCTTCCCTTCCTCAAACCGCTCCTCGCTGCCTTCCTTCTGCCTCCCTAACCGGCCTCTTCATCTACCCAGTTGTCAAGCTAAGGGCTGTGCTTCAAACAAGGAATCCAAGGACTTCCCACCATCTTTGCACCACTCCAGGTCATTTATTCTACGCTTATCTCTCTCCTCGGACCCGTGGCAATCTTCGCACGCTTTCCGTCTACTCTTTTTGCGCCGTTCCTATCCCTCCTACCTCTGTGACGTCATTTGCTCTTTGGCCAGCAGCCTTGGTGAAACTGTTGAACAGCAGTCAGATCACGTCACTCCCCAGCTCCGAAATATCCCAGCACTTGGCGTTGTATTTAGAATAAACTCTGGAATCTGGATGCTGCCTGCCTCTTCCGTGTCTACTCCCCTCCTCCCTTGCTCCTCTCCTCCAATCCCGCGGCCCTTCTTGTGGTTCTTTGGATACCCAAGACCATCTTGCCTTAGGACCTTTATACTCACTCTTTCCTCTGCCTGCGGAGGTCCAGGCTTCTTCCCCTGTGACTTCAGGCTTCTCGTCACGATTCCCGTACACGTACCATCGGAAGAGAGCACCCTGACTCCTGCCGTGGGTTTTTGTTTCCTTGTCCTGCTTTACTTTTCCTGAACTACATCAATTATTTTTTACTGGATCCATGGCCAGAATACATCTTGCTCACTGCAGTACTTAGAACAATGCTAACCAATGGTAAGTCCTAGATAATGTGTAGAAAGAATGAAGGCCTAATTCTTATTCTTCCTTGGAATGTATCCTTTCTTCTTTTCTTCACATTCTGAGATTTTAGGGCCTAATTCAGTCCCCATCTTCCCACAAAGCCCTCCCTCTCTCACCAATTTTGGTCTCTTTTCATATCTGCATTATTTATCATTTATGGACTATAACTGGCAATTAACTTGGTTTTCCCTCTTGGTTTTCAATCCCCGAGAAGGCAGGAGTCAGGCCTATAATATGATGAGAGTTCGTGAGTTTTAAGCACTTAACGTGTGCCAGGCCACGTACGTACCTCACTTCGTGTGGCCTTCCCAGCAGCCCTGTGAAGTAGGAATTCTTTTTATCCCATTTGGAGGTGAGGAAGGAAGGACTGAAGAGGTTATATTCTACCCGCGCTCAAGCAGCCATTTACAGGCAGGGCTGGTTTTACAGTGAGCTGCCTGGTGTCTGACGCTGGTCCTGCTAGCCGCTCTGTGTCACGGTCCCAGGGCTATGCTCATCCATGTGGTGACACCGCACAGGACAGGCCTTGACATTGTGTGCACTGCTTCCGCAGGGGTAAAGGCTCTGCTCTGAGGATGCGTGGCCCGGCGCAGAGAGTGATTATATTCAGAAGCGCATGCTGTTAGGGGTCCAGTCATACCTGCTTGGGAAGGGTCTCTAAGAGGCCATTCAGAAAGCACATGCAAGACTGGAGTTTGCTGCAGAAAAGGAACATGTCTTAAAAAGGAGACAAGTCAGTGCTTTTCTGTACAGTTCTGATAACCTTCTTTGATAGAGGCCAAACAGTAATTATGGTACTGATTGGAGTCCCCACCCACCCTGATGGCCAAAGGCAGATTTTAATCAGTTTTCAGGAGACTTGAAACATAAATGGTTCTAATTGACTGTCATACTTCAGAGTATTAGATTTTGCTGCTTGCCTAACCTCTACCTTCTCTGTGAGAGTTGGTAGGAACTTTTGAGACTGTAGAGTCCAGCTTTTCTGATTTACACGTGAAATGGGATGGCAGGAAGGCTAAGTCATTGCCTTGGAATATCCAGCCAGATGGTAGCAAATGAGGAACTGAAACAGCAGTGTCATTTCTGTACTTCCAGAGTGAGACCTGACCCAAATCTCATAAAGGGGAGAAAGTGACAGCTCTGAAAACTACTGCCGTAAAAACAGAGGAGAAGAGGCCGGAAGGAAAACTGTTAACAAGAGAAGAAGCCCAAGTTAGTGCCATCTTTGGAAGAGCCAGGTAGAATCCCTGGAGAATGTGATCTGCTGCTACGTGATTCATAGCTCCAGTAGTTAAGTTTCTCACTAAGAACTTGTGTGATGGTATTTCAATATAACGTAAATGGAAGGCCAGGTGGTATGGATGTATATTACCTGACAGTTGGACTCATGGAATAAATCTTATGGGAGAGTAAACACAGAGCAAAAACTTGTGGGAACTTCCCCAGTAAGCTTAGTGTAGACCTCTTAATAAGACACATTTCCCTCTTCTACTTTTCAGCTTGTATTTCTTGCCTTTCCCTTTTATTGGCCCCTTAGGATAAAGCATTCTCTGAAATCCCCATCCCCAGCCCTGCCCCTCTTTCCATCCAAATTATTACTGAGGTATCTTTGCTTTGTCAGTGATTGGATTTCTGTGGGCCACTTTGCGGCTTGTCACCCATCCACCATCGTTTCTGTCCTCCGAGTCGAGCAGAAACCTCATCGTGACTCTTAAAGAACAGAGAGAGGATTAGGCCTGACTGAAGGGGATAGGCCTCCTTCAGGAAAGCAAGGATGGTTGCATCAAAATGTCATTAATAGAAGCTTCCACTAGCCATCATGCAGGGCACTGTGCTCAGTAGTTTGCACACATCATGTGGCATTCCTTTTACAGGTGAGTACCGTCTTGGTCTGTTAACCTCCAAGTCCTTCACCCCTTGGCCCCATGTGCCAGGGAACTCTGGGAAGCATCACGTGTTATGCTGTTCATCCAGGAAGCCTTGAGGAAGCAGTGTTACCGATTTTCCTTTTTTAGCAACTGATGAGTTGAGCTCAAACATTGAGGCTGCAGATCTAAGTGGTAGAAGCAAGAGAACATTCACTCTTAAACCCGTGGATTCAGCTTCCCATCAGTGCGGGGGAGTGGTGAGCAGTCTCCCTGCTCAAACCCGCTCCCACTTTTGCAACCAGCAAGAAGCAGTGCTGCCTGCCTTGAGATGAGGCTCTTAGCATGGCTAAAGACACCAAGAATCTGAAAACTATGACATTTTAAGGGACTTAAAAAATGGAATCTGATTCTACAGTATTATCTTCTACTAAGTTTTATAGAAAAAGTGTGGCGCATTAACTACAGTAATACCGACCTGGTGGTAGCAGTCATCGCCCCCCACAAGACTAACCACTATTTATTAACAAAATTTTCTAGTGGAAAACTATTTATTATTTGTTTATAATATCTTCTACCTGAATAAGAGAAAAAAAGATTCCCTCATTCAAATCAACAATGAGACTTCAAATGACAGAAAAACTACTATGGATTTGGCGGTGGGCGGTGGGCGGTAGAATTGTTTCCTGGGCACTGCAAGCTGTAACAGTTGGTGAGAGCAACAGGCCACCAGCCTTTGACTTCAAGTGGACAGAATAAGCAGGGAAGAATTTTATCTGGGCAGTGGCCACAGGAACACTCAACAGTGATTGTCATTGTTCTATGCCAAATGCCGGTGCCTGGCTTTGCTCTGGGAGCTGAATGTAAGGGTGAACCTCTCCAGTTTCAACTCTGTAAGGCCAGACCAAGACATATGGCGATCGGTTAGACTGCATACTCCGGACAGTTTCCCATGGTTTTCTCAGAACAGATGGGTCTCTGCCCTGCTTGTCTACATCCTATAATCACATTAGAACAGGAATATTCATGGGAAATTAAGAGCTCTCAGAAAGAGCAGAAAGGATGTATAAGAACATAGGCAGAGTTGGCAGGCAGATTTGAAAGGTGACCCTAACAGATTTCCTACTCCTTCTATATGGATTTATATCAACCATTCTAGGTTCCTGCAACAGGTTTTGGAAGGTATACTGGTCAGCTTTCCCATCACTGGGGCCAAATACCAGATACCCATAAGTTACACAATTGTATTTTCGCTCATAGTTTCAGGGGTTCAGTCTGTGGTGGTAACACTATGGTGGAGGGGTGTGATGGAGGAAAGCTGCTGAACTCATAACACTGAGGAAGCTGAGAGCAGGGAAATGACAGAGATGAAGGAGATAGGGACGAGATATGAAACCCAAAGTCATGACCCCATGACACACTTGCTCAGAGTAGACCCTGCCTCTTAAGAACTCATCAATGTGTTAACTCATTGGTGAGATTTGTGCTCTCAAAATTCAACTAAAGTTCTCTTTTTATATTTTTTATTCTTAAATTCTTTTATTGGTTTACTTTAGGTATAAAATACATTTGCATTCATCATTGGGAACTTGTACTTTTACGTGATGTATCTTCCTTCTTATCTTTTCCCCATTCCCTGCCCTCCCTTCAACTCCTCCAACACTCCCTATTTACAAAGACTTTGTTTCCATTTTTTCCTTGTCTCACGTTTTTTCTTTTCCCTTCTTTCCCCCTACCCTCCCCTTTCCCCTAGCCCTTGGACTTTTTCTTCCTATTTCACATTATCAACTATTCACTTTAATCCTTATTCATACTTTCAGTTTCTCATGCCAAAGAAACTATTTGGTATTTGCATATGTGTGTCCTGTTTATTTCGCTTAAGAGTGTGGTCTTAAGTTCCATCCATTTATCTACAAATATCTCTACTTTCTCATTCTTTATGGCTCAGCAATACTCCTCCCCGCCCCATCTGTGTCTGTCTGTCTGTCTATCTATCTATCTATCTGAATATCTTCTTTATCTAGTCACCAGTTTATGGGCACACTTGGGCTATTTCCAAGCTTTAGCTATTATAAACTGTGCTTTTATAAATATGGGTGGTCATATATCATTGTGATATGATTCTTTTAATTCTTTTTTTTTTTGGTACCAGGGATTAAACTTGGGCCCTTGCACTTGTGAGGCAGGTGGTGAAACCACTGAGCCAAATTTGTGGCCCCAGTTCTTTTAATTGTTTTAGGAAGATATCCAGCAAAGTAATAGCTGGGTCGAATTGGACTTCTAATCCTAGTTTTTTGAGGTATCTCCATACTGATTTCCACAGTGGTTTTACCAGTCTGCACTCCCACCAACAGTGCAGAATCATTCCTTTCTTCTACAACTTTGCCAGCATTTGTTATTGCATGATATTTTTGATAGCAACCATTCTTTCTGGGGTGAAGTGGATTCTCAGTGTTGTTTTCATCTGCATCTTTCAAATGACCAGTGATGTGGAACATTTTCACATGATTGCTGCTTTTACTTCTGTGTCTGAGAAATGTCTGTTCATTTCAGGTGCCCATTTTTGAACTGGATCTTTAAATTTGGGGGGGGGTCTAAAAATTTAAATTCTTCATATATTCTAGGCAGTCCTTTGTCTGAGGAACAGCTGATAAAAATTTTTCCCACATTGTAGGTTGTCTCTTATCTCTGTTGGTGGTTTCTCCTGCCTTGCAGAAGCTTTTTAATAAGATGAGATCCCAATTGTTGATTCTTTGTGCTAGTTCCTATGCTACTGAGGTTTTATTCATAAAGACTTTTCTCATTCCTATATCTTTAAGATTTCTATATAACTTCTCTTGCAGCAAGTTTAGTGTTTCTGTTTTAATATTTAGATCTTTAATCCACTTTGATTTTAGTTTAGTGTGTAGTGATAGATATGGATCTAGTTTTAATCTTTGGAAGGGTGAAATCCAGTTTTTCCAACACTGTTTATTATATAGGCTATGTTTCCTTCAGTGAGGGTGGTTGGCTCTTTTGTTAAAGATGAGGCGGCTGCGTGTATCTGAACTTTTTTCTGCATCTTCTAATCTGTTCCACTGATTCTCCAGTCTGTTTCTTTGCCAGTACCATGTAGTTTTTATCACAGTGGTTTTGTAGTATAGTTTCAAGTTGGGGATTGTGATACCCACATCATGTCTCTGTGGCCTAGAATTGCTTCTGCTAGTCTAGGTCTCTTCTGGTTCCAGATGAATTTTTAGATTGTTTTCTCTAATTCTATGAAATATACTGTTGGGATTTCAATAGGGATTGCATTAAATCTATATAGCAATTTTGGAAGTATGGCAATGTTCACTATATTGGTTCTTCCTATCCAGGAACAAGGGATGTCTTTCAATTTTCTTACATCCTCTTTGAGCTCTTCCTTCTGATTGCTGTAGTTTTCAATGTAGAGGTCTTTTGCTTCCTTTGTAGGATTGATTTTTAGATTTCTAATGTTTTAGGTTGCTATTGTGAAAGTAATTGTTTCTCTAATTTCTGTCTCAGTGATTATGTTATTTGTATACAAGAAGACTATTGATTTTTGAGTGTTTACTTTGTATCCAGCTACTCTACTGAATCTGTCAATTAAGTCTAGAAGTCGTTTGGCAGAGTTTTTTTGGGTGTTCTATGTAGAGTATCAGAACTTCAGCAAATAATGACAGTTAACTTCTTCCTTTCCTATGTTTATTGCTTTTATTTCATTATCTTGTCTAATTGCTGTGGCTGATGTTTCCAGAACTATATTGAACAGGAGTGGTTATAGTGAGCCTCCTTGTCTTGTTCTTACTTTGAACATGAAAGTTTTCAGTTTATGATCATTTAGTATGATGTTTGCTGTTGGTTTTTCATAGACAGCCTTAATCAGATTGAGATAAAGGCCTTCTATCCCAATTTTCTGTAGGTTTCTTTAAAAATCATGAATGGTTGTTGAATTTTGTCCAAGTCTCTTTATGAATCTATTGAGATGATCATATGGTTTTTGTCCTTGGCTCTGTTAATATAGTTTATTACATTTATTGATTTCTGCATATTGAACCATCCTTGCATCCTAGGGATAAATCTTACTTGGTCAGGATGTATGATCTTATTGATGACGATTTGTACTCTTTTTGATAGTATCTCATTGAGGATTTTTGCATTTATGTTCATTAGGAAGATTAACCTGTAGTTAGTTCTCTTTTTTGGTTGGGTCTTTACCTGGTTTTGGAATCAAAGTAACACTTGCTTCCAGGAATTAATTTGGAAGTATTGCTTCCTTTTCAATTTCATTGAAAAAGATTAAAGAGTAGTGGTAATGGTTCTTCTCTAAACATCTTGTAGAATTCAGCAGTGAAGCCATCAGGACTTGAGAT